TGGCCCTATCTTCCAACCAACTGGGTATCCAATGATTTCATAGCATCTCTCTTTAGTATGACCAACCTTCTTGCAATGATCACAACGTGGCTTCCTTGGCATGGAAGATTTCCCAGTGTGGTTCATCTTTGCTGCCAAGGTTGTTGCTTCTATAATTGGACTTCTAGATGCAGCCACTGCTTGTTGCTTCTCCTCTTTGGTAGTCATTGCATACAGCTTATTCAGTGATGGGAGGGGTTCTGTGCTTAAGATCTGTGATCGAACAGTTGAAAAATTCTCATTCAATCCCATGAGAAATTGATGGACTTTCTCTGTTTCTTGTGCCTTCATATACTCCTTTGCTGCACCACATGTACAACCACAAGTGCATGTCGGCACTAGCTCATTTGCTTGTAGTTCATCCCATATAGGCTTCAATTTTGTGAAATATGCTGCTACTGATCTTGACTGTTGTGTGGTGGTTGCAAGTTCGAGTTTTAATTCATGTACCCGAGATGCATTTCCTTGTGAGAAGCTTTCATGTAAGTCATTCCAAACCTCAGCAGCACTCTCCACATAGGCCACACTTCCCTGCAAGTCCCTAGAGAGAGCATTAGGTAACCATGAAAGCACCATAGAATTGCACTTTGTCCAAGCCTGATACTCTGGGGAATCTGCGTTTGGTCTCTTAAGGCTCCCATCAACAAACCCCATCTTGTTCTTTGCAAATAAGGCATTCTGCATACTCCTTCTCCACGTGTGGTAATTCTCCTCGGTCAAGGGAGTCATGACTAAGACCCTCCCTGGATCATCACTGGAATGGAGAAAATAGGGTGAATCTGGATCTGTTGTCTTAAGGATACCTATCTCTCTCTTTTCCATTTTGGATCCATTCTTGGCTATAGTGTCAGTCATTGTCGATTGTTGAACGCAACAAAACCTTGCCGTCGAAGTCGATTGTTTGCAGCAAACTCTTGCTGTCAATTGAACCTTCACTGGTCTTATACCATGATAAAATCATAATATGAATGGCAATGATATGCGCATGAAATCCTATCCTTCTCATTGTGATTGCAATATACATATATACAAACTGTCAGCTATAATCAAGCCTAAATCAATGATTCTATACAAGGAATGCATTTACTAGTATGGATGCATTTACTAGTATAAACAGCAAAATATTAGAGATTAATGTTGATTGATTGATTTCCTTATTCATCTCCTTGATATCCGGCTATAAGAGGAGCGCTTGAAGGCATTGCATCCAATTGACTTGGAGAAACGTTATTTTCTTGGGGAGTCCCTTAAGATTTTAAGTGGCACCATTACAGCCAACATGCTTTCAAAACTTATAAATTCCAATAATATTTTGCTGTCTTTGAGCAATAATGGCACTGTTGTCAACTATTCCTTTCCGAACCTTCGGTATTTAATATTCTCTTCTTGCAACATACACAAGTTCCCAAGTTTCTTAAGGAAGGCACAGAGTTTCCAAGAAGAAGATTTCTAGTCAAATTCGCAAATGGGAAATAGAAGGGCTGTCACTGTTCAATTTAAACTTTTCTTATAACTTCTTGCAGTTGGGTTTCTTTCTTCCTCCAAGAAGATCTGACAAAAATAATGAGTGCATGAACTTAATTAGTTCCAGCAGAAGCTGCAGGCAGTTGCCCTTTCTCTCTGAAATTGTTATGTCTTTTCATGTGAATTATTATTATTTCATGTTCAATGTTTGCTGAAAATTTTGGCTAAAACCTAAACGTTTTTTATGTTACCACTTTTCTAAGTTTTCTTCCATTCCTTTCCTTTTAACAGTGCTTTTTAATGAAAGAAATGAATTTTTTTTTTTTTTAATATGTGGAGTGCATACAATATCTTCTTCCTTTTATCGTACTTCTCTCCAAACAGTTGAAATTGAAATTCCAGTCAATGCCGAAGTGAACGCATCCGACGGATGTGGGTTGCAATTGCATCGCCTGCGAGGGGCTCAGCGATGTCGGATCTGGTCGGGAAGGCTGACGGATGACACCACCGTCTTTTGCGCTCTGGACGCCCACTCTCTTGTCTTGACAGCGCCAACTGAAATCTTTTTCTCGTTCTTGAGTGGTCTGATCGACCGATCCTGACGAACGCAGGGTCAAGATCTGACTCGACCTGTCCTCTAGTTGCTGGTTTTTGATGAACTTAGGGTAGTGGCTCTCAGGCACATATAAAGGGTAGCGGTCGGTTTAATCTTTGTGGGGTGGTCTGGTGCATGGACAGGTAAGAAGCTGTAAATTTTATGTTTATTTTTATCTTTTGTGTGTTTTTTCATTTTTCCTTTTGGATTTTAAACTCTTGTATCATGCTATGATTAGAATTGCTATGTAAATGTTGTGACAAT